CATGACTGATGCGCAAGCTGCTGGGCGCATGCCACCACAGGCTCGCCACAGGAGCGGCGTCTGGGCTCTGGTCAGCCAGCCCAGCTCCCATGTGCCTCTCCTGGACGAGCTTGGGCTCCTTCGCCACAAGCCTGCTGATACCTCGAAGAGCCTGAAGCCGTGCGAGGGGCTGCTCCACCTCTGCGGCTGCCCGCAACTCATTCGCCACGCGGAAGAGCCAGGTCGCCTCGGCCGAGACTCTCGGCCATCTTGCACAGGGCACTGGCAGGTCGCGTACTCGTCGTACTTGGAGCTCACGCCCTCTGCCGCAATACTTCGACGTGGTGCCCGAGATCTGGTAGACATCTATCCACTCACGCTCGGCTTTCTCAAGGAAGGCTTGCCGCGCCTTCGTCATGTTCCCATGCTGACCCAGGAGCTTCTGCACAACCGTGGCCGTCTGTGCCCAGCCAGGTCCATGATCATTTCGTAGGCATCCTTGCGGTCGCTGTCGTGGGAACGCCTTGGGTATCATAGCCACATTGATGAACTCCCTCCTCTTCGCCGCCTTGAGCGAGAGCAACGCAGGCCGATGCGGCCAGACAGCGGAACCTTCGAGCACTTCGGTGTCATTTACGTCGAGGTCTGCCGAGATGATGAAATAGTCCATGGCCCTGTTGGACTGAGCGCACGTCGGCGCGACAGTGCTGACCACCTTGCCATTGAAGAAGCGCAGGACCCCGCTCGCCTTGAGCTCTTCCCTGGTACAATTGAAATTGCCCACCAATCAGGAAAGGTCTGCCATGCTCACGAATTCGGCGAGCCACATCCTTGAGGATCGCGCAGTTGTGCGGGTTGATGCCGACCCCGCTCTCGAGATAAATGTTGACTACGGCCACACCCTCGGGCAGCAACCCAGCTTGGCGTAGCGCCAGCGCTCGCCCCTCGCGGAGCACTGGGGGGGGGGGGGGGCGACCCAAGCATTGGAGCCAGCCCATGAGAAAGACGCGAAGAGGTCAAGAGCCCGCCCGTGGCGAGCCCGCCTGCCTCGGAAGGAATTGCTGGGGCTCCCGCTGCACGCCAACCCCGTCGACGAAGCTCCCCTTCATCATCCGCCGTCCGTGCAGCCGAAAGCCGTGTCTCCTGGAACATGATGAGGTCACTGTCTGGCACCGACCCGCTCATGCACTTGTCCAGGTTGCTGTGCGCATTCAGGTTGATGATGCAGACCTTGAAGATCTCGTCGCCGCCCAGCTCGTTACTCCACCTGAGGCTGCTTGCCCAGCCTGGTGGCGAAAAGCTCAAGCAGCTCACGCTTCTTGGATTCAGCGCCGCCGTCGCAGAACTCAGCAAGAGTCGCATCCAGCGAAGCATTCTTGAAGCGCATGATGTAATCCTTCTCGACCGTGATGCCCCCGTAGGGATCGTACTTGCTGATGCCCTTGCCGCCGCGCTTGCCCTTGGGCCCTGCTGCCACAGGCGCTGGTGGGGGCAAGTCTGCTGCGACGGGCGGCTTGACCACCTTGGGCGGGTTGACCCTGTCGGCGGCGAGAGACTGCAGCAACGTCCTGAGCGGTCGAGCTGCAGGCCCAAGGTCTACGCCATCGAGCTGATCAGCAACCTGCTCAGCCAACTCCCCGTGCTTAGCCGCCAGCGCCGCCGCCACCGCGTCGACCTCCTCGAACGAGTCCGTCTCCATGTCTGTGTCCTGCTTCGCCTTCTGGGCCTCCTCGCGCTCCTGGGCCTCCTTGGCCTGGGCCACGGCCTGCTGCAGCTCGTCGTCCAGCTGCTGGATGTACTTGTTCTGCTGCAGCACGGCCGCCACCTCCTCTGCCGCCACGAGCTCTCTGCGCTTCCCCTCTTCACGGGCGCGCTGGAGCCTCTTGCCCGCCTCGTCGGCCTGCACCTGCGCGCTCTTGACCGCCTTGATGGGCGAGAGAGTCCCCAGCTGCTGCTGCAGGAGGAACCTGGCCTGCCGCAGCGAGTGCTGGTCCGCAGGCGACAGCATGGCAGGCGCGAAGATGGCGAAGTCCTCCTCGCTGATCTCCAGGTACCTGGCCCTTGCCTCGTCCGTGAGCACAGCGTACTTGGGTGGCGCTCCTCCTGGTCCACCTCCTGCTCCAGACTGGCTCTTGCCGTAGCCCTTGGGTCCCTTGGACTGGTGCCAAGGCGCCTGTGACCAGTCCCAGCTGGCGGCTGGAGCACCGTACTGCCAGCTGCCACGAGGAGCAGGATGAGCACCCAGACCAGGAACGTGACCAGTCGGCCGATACGCAACGCAGCCAGGCTGCCTGCATTGCGCCCTCCAGCCCCGGTTCTTGTAGCCGCACCCGGAGCACACCCAGGCCTTGATCTTCGTGTTGCCAGCGCCTGCACCGCCGCCGCCGTGCCCGCTGCCAGCAGGAACCATGGCGCGCCGCGCTGCGCGGCCCGACTCGTGTCAGAAAGAACTTCCAAAATTGCTGGCCTCAAAGCGCGAACCCCCTCTCGCTCAGAAGCCGCCCCGAAGGACTCGCGGTCGTCGGGATGGTTCATAGCCTTGAACCAAAATGGCTACGGAGGAGGAGGAGGAGGAGGAGGGGGAGGAGGAGGAGGAGGAGGAGGTGGCAGAGGAGGAGGAGGAGGAGAAGAGTAATACGACGAACACGACGAATAATAGGATTCCGCTTAATAATACGAAGTATAGTAAGACGAAGCAAATTACCAATAGTAATAATATTGCTAAGCCGAAAAGAATACGACTCATACTATTCGTAATGCTAGTAATGCCAATGCCACGAATATTTATAATATGGATAACATTACCAGTCACTCTATTACTATTCATAGAAATACTACTAGTACCACTAATAATAATAGTACTACTGATCGTACTAATGTTGAAACTATTAATTAGAGCAGTAAGAAGAATGACACTGATACGACCACTACTTATTACAGTAATATGGATGATGGGGATACGACTACTAACTGCAATAATAATAAGACTACTGCTACTCATAGCAACACCAACAATACTTAAACTACGAATGCTGATACTACGAATAATAGTGGTATCAACACTAATTAAAGTATTACTAGTCGTAATACTAACACTAACAGTTATAACAATACCATATCACTAATACTGCTACTACTGCTAATAATGGTAAGCCTGGTAAAACATACAACATTCTAATAGCAATCCTAGCAATACTAATAGTAATCATTTTAAGACTACTAACAATACGAGTAAGAAGACTACGACACATATGACGACTCATAATCGTACTCATATGAGGAATACTAAGAAGACTACTGACCAGAAGAAGAGGAGGAGGAACATGAGGAGGCAAGGGAGTTGGAAGCGGGATGGGGGCGGGAAGGGGGGGGCACCAGGAGGTCAGGCCGTTGGAGCCTGAGGAGGGAGGGTAAGGGCAGGGTGGTGAAGAAGGCATGCGGAGGAGGAGGAGGAGGAGGAGGAGGAGGAGGAGGAGGAGGAGGAGGAGGAGGAGGAGGGGGAGGAGGGAGGGGCAAACTAGGCGCGCATCCCTTACCATGGCGCTGATTTTCTCTATCCGCGGACGCGTGTCGTAGCGGACCTGTGGCTCCGCGCGCGCGTGCGTAGTGGGTGGTGGTGCGCGTGCGTGCGTGCGTGCGTGTGTGCGTGGTTGTGGTGGTGCTGGTGCTGGTGCTGGTGCTGGTGCTGGTGCTGGTGCTGGTGCTGGTGCTGGTGCTGGTGCTGGTGCTGGTGCTGGTGATGGTGCTGGTGCTGGTGCTGGTGCTGGTGCTGGTGCTGGTGCTGGTGCTGGTGCTGGTGCTGGTGCTGGTGCTGGTGCTGGTGCTGGTGCTGGTGCTGGTGCTGGTGGTGTGGTGGTGGTGGTGGTGGTGGTGGTGGTGGTGCGGCGCGGTGGTGGCGGGCGGATGGGCGCGCGAGAAAGAGGCCCGCGCTGGGGCGAGAACGCCATCCTGAACGACGGAGGCCAAACACCGATCCGAAAATGAGGCCCACGCTGCAGCGGGAGCACGATTCGGAACGATTCGGGAGCAGAAATGAGGCCGGCGCCTCAGCGAGAGCAGCATTTTGGAAAAAAACGCAGGCGAAAACCCGTTTCCCGGGAATCCTGTGTGTAAAAAACAATACGCGGGGGGGGTCGGATATCTTCGGGACGCCATCAGGGGAAGTGGGAGAGTATTTTCATATTGTGTAATGTGGAGGAGGAGGAGGAGGAGGAGGAGGAGGAGGAGGAGGAGCAGGACCAGTCGGAGAAGGAGGAGGAGGAGAGGAGGAGGAGGAAGGAAGAGGAGGAGGAGGAGGAGGAGGAGGAGGCGGAGGAGGAAGAGGAGGGAGGAGGAGGAGGAGGCAAGGGAGTTGGACGCGGGAGGGGACGGGAGGAGGGGGCACCAGGAGGTCAGGCCGTTGAAGCCTGAGGAGGGGAGGCAAGGGCAGTGTGGTGAAGAAGGCTGGCGGAGGAGGAGGAGGAGGAGGAGGAGGAGGAGGAGGAGGAGGAGGCGAAGGAGGAGGAGGAGGAGGAGGAGGAGGAGGGAGAGAGGAGAGGAGGAGTAGGAGGAGGAGGAGGGTAAAGGCTATAGCCTAGTTGCCAACGTCCGCCGAACGTGAAGGGAGGAGGGGGAGGAGGAGGAGGAGGAGGGAGGAGGAGGAGGAGGAGAGGAGGAGGAGGAGGAGGAGGAGGGGGAGGGGGAAGAGGAGGGGGAGGAGGGGGAGGAGGGGGGGGAGCAGGAGGAGGAGGAGAGGAGGAGGAGGAGGAGGAGGTGGAGGAGGAGGAGTTCTACAGCCTAGTTGCTGAAGTCCTCCTAATGTTAAAAAGCTAGGAGGATGAAGATGAGGATGCGGATGAGGGGGAGGCGGATGAGGGGGAGGAGGCGGAGGAGGCGGAGGAGGAGGTAGAGGAGGAGGAGGAGGAGGAGGAGGAGGAGGAGGAGGGGGAGGAGGAGGAGGAGGAGGAGGAGGAGGAGGAGGAGGAGGAGGAGGAGCAGGAGGATGAGGATGAGGATCAATGAGGGGGGGATTTGGGCGGCAGGACCCCGAGGAGGTCGCCATGGTGTATCGCGTGGAGCGCTACGCAGGCGTGCAGGGGATCAGGACGCTGCAGCGCCCAGACGCGTTGTCGCCTTTCAAGGGGAAGAACGCGGCTCTCTGGCTGCCTCGGGCCCCGCGGGGTAGGGTGCTGCGTCGAGCGAGGCGTTTGTGCGTATTTTTCGTTTGCCCGTCGTCTTTTCCTTCTCCATTTCCTCATCTTTGATCGTGTTTCGGTTCGTTTTGTGTGCCCCCCCCCACCTTTGGTTTTTTTTTGGTTGTTCTCTCTCTCTCTCTCTCTCTCCCCTCGTGTTCGTCGTCCCTCTTCCCTTCCGCATCATGATCCTCCTGTGTCTCCTATCTTCGTCCTCCCAGTCACGTTGCTTCTTCCAGTCTTCCAGTGCCTGCCCAGCTACCGTCGCTGATGCGGGTATTGTTGTCGTTTGTCGTAGTCGTCGTCGTCGTCGTCGTCGTCGTCGTCGTCGTCGTGGTCTGTCTCCGTCGGTTGTCGTCGTCATCGTCGTCGTCGTCCTCAGCGTCGTCGCCGTCTTCGTCGTCAGGATCGTCAGCGTCGTCATCGTCTTTTCTTTATCCTTGAACTCTTCTTAGGGGGCAGGGGAATGGGGGGAGACGGAAGGAGGATGGATAAGGACGTGAAGGACGCTGGGAGGGTAGGGGAGGGAGAGGGGAGCGGTTTAACTGGAAAATGATAAGGGGCAATTGTGGCACGGCAGAAGGGGAGGCGGATGGAGAAAGTCGCGGAGTGGGGGGGGGGGGGCGCGGGAGGGGAGGATGGCAGGGGAGGGAGGGGGAATGAGACCAGGACTGAGAGGAACGGAGTGGAGAAGAGGGGATGTCAGTCTGCTTGTCTGTTTGTGTGTTTGTTTGTTTGCCTGCTTGTTTGTGTGTGTGTGTGTGTGTGCGTGCAGCCTGTGCCGGCGCTGCTCCCCCCCGGCGCTCCCCTCGCCGCAGCCCGCAGCTCTGAGTGGCCCGGCTTCCTCTCCTCCCGTTGCGCCGGGGCTCCTTCTCCTCCCTTCGTGCATTGCGGCCTCAATTAGCATACAGCGTGTTCCCTGTTGCCTATCCGCCGGAGCAGTCGCCTTCTGCCCAGCCGCCGACGCAAAAAGAGTGTGTGTGTATGTGTGTGTGTGTGTGCGTGTGTGTGTGTGTGTGTGTGTTTGAGCTTTCCCCTCGCCCGGGATTGCACGGCCGGGTTCGAGCGCTCTCGCCACACGCGCTGATGCAATGCGTGTACTTGTGTCTCCCGCTGGCGTCCGGTGCGATGTTGCTGTATATGGTCAGACGAGCTACCAGTCTGTGCATGTGTGTTCGTTATGTTCTGTTTTTTTTCCGCACGCGGCTCGCCGCGCGCGCGTGCAACACCAGTTGGAATGGAGCTGAGCGTGGCCCGCCTTATGTTGTTCTCGCGACGGTGTTGCCTCTTCGCAGCTGAGGGAATTTGTGTGTGTGTGTGTGTCCGTGGAGCGAGAACGTGATATTGGGAGCGGGGGAGGAAGGGAAGGGTGCTGGAAGCAAGGACATATGGGGGTCAGCGAGGGAGAGGGAGAGGGAAAGAAAGGTAATCTGATGGAAGGGGATGGGAGGGCAGAGTGAGGACGATGAGGCAGACGAGGAGCACAAGCAGCTTCGGCCAGACGGGTGCACCCGCGAGCGTGCGCAAAGCCAGGTTACCATCGGCGAGGAGTTTGTTGCTTCGTCCGTGGAGGAGGAGCTCGATGACGACGGCAAGCCCACGGTCTCCGCCGCTTCGGGCGAGGGCCCGCCCCCTTCCAGATCTCACCCGGGGGGGTCGCTTCTGCTGCTGCTCCTCCCCTTTCTGCGTCCCTCTGGCGTTCCCCCTCCCCATCCCTCGCCTCCGGCCTGTCGCCTCCCTCCTGCCCCTCGCCCCCCTCCTCTTCGAAGGAGAGCAACTGCAGAAGCAGAACCTTTCGGAGGTCCGCGCGGGCCATCGAGAGTTTATGTTCATGCTGCTTTTTTCTTTTTTCGACCTTCGTCCCTCCCCTCCTCCCACCCCTCCCCACCCTCCCCCTCTCTCCTCGCTCTCTCCTCGCCGTCTGTGCCCGTCTGGCCGTCGCTGGCCCCCTGAACTCCGCTCCCCGTCCCCCGTCCCCTGCACTCTTCTCGACGATGACGACGACGACGCCGACGACGATGACGACAAACGACGGAGGCAGACGACGACGACGACGGCGGTGGCGCAAGTACACGCCGAAAGGTCAGCGGACTTGTGGCAGATGGCGAGGCGAGGCGATGGCGAGGAGGAGGGGCGGTTTGCCCCCTCCACGCCCTCGCCTCTCCTCGCTCGCCGTCGCCCTCGCCCCTCCCCTCGCCCCTCCTCGCCTTCGCCTCTCCCCCCCTCCTTTCTCCTTCCATCTCCTCCGCCTCGGCCTCCGCCTCTCCCTCTTCCCCCTCCTCCTGTTCCCCCCCTCCTCCTCCTCCTCCTCCTCCTCCTCCTCCTCCTCCTCCTCTTCCTCCTGGTGCTGCAGGCTTTTGGTCTGCTCGAGGGCGACTTGCCGCGTGTCCAAGCTCTTGGAGAGAGAGAGAAAGAGAGAGAGAGAGCCCGTCAAGACGGGTCGGAAGAGGATTCCGATCCCGAGTCCGACGGAGGCGATCTCTTCTAAGTGGCATTTGCGTTGAGCGCGATCCACAACAACCTCTTCCTCCTCCTCCTCCTTCTCCTCCTCCTCCTCCTCCTCCTACCACTCTTTCTGCTTTTTAGAAACGCCGTGGAGGCTTCCCCTCAGCGCGTGCTTGCAGGCCCCATCCTCGTCGCTGTATCCTCGTCGTCGTCCTTCCTCCCTCCCTCTTCCCCTCCCTCTCTCCCTTCCTTCTGCGAGGAATTGCAACATAAACATATACTTTCGACGGTCCGCGCGGATTTCTTGGATTGGCGCTGGAGCCCCCCAGGAAGGGGTTTCTGGCGTGGATCCAAAACATCCGCGCAGACCTCCAACAATTCGTGTTTTTTGTTGTTGTTCCCTCTACCCACACCCCTCTGGCATGGTCACTTCTTGGGGGCCATGGCCGCCCTGCCCTCGTGTCCGGGGCACTGGTGACAGAGCCACGACTTCAGCCTTCAGCTGCCCGAGCAGCCACTCAATCGGAGGGGTCGTGCTCTTCGCTGGAATTCGCCCCTGCCTGCTGCACTCCGCTCGCTTTCGTTTCGCACTTTGTGTCGGCGACTTCCTTTCTGTCGTTTCGCCCGCTGTGATTTCGCTGGTTTCTGTCTCGCTCGCGGTGCTTCTGCGCTCGGTGATCGAGTCGCTCGAACTGGTCTGTCCGGTTGTTTCCTCTCTCGCCTGGACTGCTTTCTTCGATCGGCGATTTGCTTCTGCTCTTGCATGTGCTCCCCTTCCCACCCGTGCTTCATTTTTCTGGGAGGCTGTTCTTAGGGTACGGCGATCACCCAGGTTCTCTGGCCCGCCGGCCCCTCCCCCTTTCCCCCCGGATATCTTCGGTTGCGCACATCCGCATGGGGTACGCAGTACTGGTGCGCGCGGGCATGCGTGGGGTTGCCCCTAAAAAGCATGTAGATCTGGTGATCGGCCGGCACCTCCCCCCCTCTCTCCCCCACCTGTTTGTTTTTCGCATCCTGGACTGGGCTGTATGGACCCACTCCATGGCATCCGCGCGAGCGCACCGCGTTTGAGTCCCTCGGGGTTGGCGTTCCGACGCGGGCGGTCCTTTTGATGTGCATCGGCCCAAGCAAACCGAATCGATCTAAGCGTTTCGATCGAGCCGACCTGAGCGAGTCAAGTGATGCGATTCGGCCAGAACACTTCAGCAGTTCAAGCGAATCGACTCGCGGAAGTCGATCCGGAAGCATCGGTTCCGTAGAAGCAGCGCGGGTGAACCGATTCGGGGACACCCTGCTCCGATCGAGCCGAATTCCAACGGTTGGTTCCACCGAGCTGCTTCGGGAATCGATCGCCTCAGGCAGGTCGGCTCCATTGGAGCGAGCCGAGCGCACCGGCTCGTTGGAATCAATGCAGGCGCGCTGATCTTCGACAGCGAGGGCTCGACGGCGAAGCGGCTCGAATACAAGTTGGTTCAGTTGGACTCGATATCTGGATGACTCGCCTCGAGGGCAGTGTGTCGACACGCTCGGCAAACCCGTTGACACACGAGCTCAGTTTCGGCCACGCGCAGAGGGGGGTGGGGGGAGGGGGGAGGGCTTCTTAGAAGCATCCCTTCTTCTTAGAAGGCGCGGGCCTTGTCTATAGATGTAAGGCCGGCGCCTTCTAAGAAGCAGCCTCCTTCTAAGAAGCCCTTCCCCCTCCACCTACCCCCTTGTGCGCGCCGCCAACAGTTTACCATTCACCACCGGTTTGTACCCACTTTCCCACTGCTCTTCCGAGGTGTCAGCGGGGGGACTTGGTCGCTGTCGAGCACTCGCGAGTTTGGCTGCAGTCACGTTGTGCCGTCAGCTTCTCTCGCTCTCATCTGTAGGCGAGCGTGCTGTCCGCGCTCCTGCGCCTGCGGCCACGATCTCCTCCCAACGCGCCGACAGACGGGGCCGACGCCTCCACTGCCTGGTTTCTCGTGGTGCCCGGCGACGTTCCAATGGGAACGTGCGCGGGGGGCGGGCCTCCTCGAAAGGTGGCGGGGCCTCTCGGAAGCCCCTGCGCCTTCTGAGAGGCCGCCCGTGTCTTCGGAGAAGGCCTGGAGGGCTCAGAAGGGACGGGGGCGTGGGAGGAGGAGGAGGAGGAGGAGGAGGAGGAGGAGGAGGAGGAGGAGGAGGAGGAGGAGGAGGAGGAGGAGGAGGAGGAGGAGGAGGAGGCATCTGGGCATAGAGGGTCTCTTGCACCTTCCGAGGAGCCCCGCCCCCTCGGGCTTCCGCCCTGGGCTCGCCGTCGAGGGGCGCTCTCGTCCGCGCGTTCTCTCGTGCGCCGGGCCTCGCCAGGCGCCCCTCGGCGGTGCCCCCAAATGTGCAGGCGATGCTCAGGAGGGGAAAAAACACACAGACACAATTAATCGGCGATTCCCAGAAAATATGGGAAAATATGGGAAGTGGTTGGGAAGACAAAAACCCAGAAAATATGGGAAAATATGGGGGATATTTTTATTTGTGTGTATTTATTTGTGTGTCCCAGGGCCCCTTCAGATGCGCTGAGCTGAGAGCCGCTTTGGGTTGAGCATGGGGCTCCGGTTTTCGGTCCGCTCCTCAGGTTTAGGGTTAGGTCGGGCATGTCCCCCTACAGGGGGATTTTGGACGAAAAACGAAGATACCCCCAAATTCAAGAATATTCAAAAATGCCAAGATTATCCCAGTGCGACCCTACCTAGGAGTTGGAATCCCTAGGAAAGCAGCATTAGTAGTAGCAGTAACGCTAAGCTAAAGCTAAGCTAAAGCTAGGCTAAAGCTAGGCTAAAGCTAAGCTAAAGCTAAGCCACAGCTAAGCTAAAGCTAAGCTAAAGCTAAGCTACAGCTAAGCTGAAGCCAAGCTAAAGCTAAGCTAAAGCTAAGCTAAAGCTAAGCTAAAGCTAAGCTAAAGCTAAGCTAAAGCTGAGCAACAGCTAAGCTAAAGCTAAGCTACAGCTAAGCTAACGCTAAGCTAAAGCTAAGCTAAAGCTAAGCCACAGCTAAGCTCACGCTAAGCTAAAGCTAAGCTAAAGCTAAGCTAAACGCTAAGCGAAAAGCTAAGCGAAACGCTAAGCGAAACGCTAAGCTAAAGCTAAGCTACAGCTAAGCTAAAGCTAAACTAAAGCTAAACTAAAGCGAAAGCTAAAGCTAAAGCTAAAGCTCCCAGGGGACTGGGGGGAACCGCTCCCAGGGGACTGGGGGAACCGCCCGGGGCGATTTGCACTGCCCGGCCCCTTTAAGTTAAGAGAGTAAGAACCCTTCTAGGCAGAGCCTAGGTAGGGAACAATTGTCCGCATACTATGTATTGACTATTTTTGGATCTTCCTCCTGTAGAGGGACAGGCCCGACTTACTGTAGGTGTAGGGCGAGGAAACTGTTCGTTTCCGAGGCTCGCCCCGTCCAGAAGAGCCCTTCGTTCCTTCTTCTGCGCTCCGACTGGTACGATGGGTTCACGACGTGCCGACCGGCGGCGACCCCGCCGCCGGCGTTCAACGCTGAACGCCGCTGGCGATCCAGAGTTGGTCGATGTTCAACGGTCTGACGTTTCGGAAGCGGCCGCTTGTTCAAGATTGAACGATCCCCTGCGATGTCAGAAACCGTCGCCGAAGTCGGCACGACACGAACCGTAGCGCGATGACTGCACGGCGTCCCACGGACCACGGGTGCCTCGATGCCCACCTGCCGTACGCCGCGAGCGCGCCGTGCGCGGCCGCCGCCTCCTGCGGAGGTCGCTGTCCGCACCTGTCCTGCTGGGGCGAGGCCGACTGCGGCAGGCTGGCGTCGTGTCGACCGGCAGCGTGTCAATGATCCCTGATATCCGACGCTCCAAAGATTTGGAGCAGGCGTTTTGGGCAGTTGTCGGCCTCCGGGGGGCCCTCGTCGGGCCTCGGGAGCGTTGAAGACGACTCAGGACGAAGAACGGGTCCCGGGGAAGGGGTCTGGACCTCCAGTCGAAAAAAATGGAGCAGCCGGATGTCTGGGATCATGGCATGGCATGGCACGGCATGGGCGCCTCAAGGGGCGGGGTCGACAAGGGATGTATCAGGGGGCCATTCGCGTCCGGATCGCTGGGACGTTCTCGGGGAAGTTGCCCGTCTGCTCCTGTGGGCAGGGCCCCGCGGGACACTACGGATGGAGCTTTGTACGGCAGGTTCGCGTCGTGTCGACCGGCGGCGACCCCGCCGCCAGCGTTCAACGTTGAACGCCGCCGACGACCCAGAACCGGTCTATTTTGAACGATGTAACGTTGCTGAAACTGCCGATTGCTCAAGGTGGAGCGATCCCCGCGGTGTCAGAAACCACGACCGAAGTCGGGACGACGCGAACCTGCCCGTCCGAGGGCGAGCCCCATCCGCCAAGAGAGGGCCTCCCCGTGATCTCCTCGACCTTGGCAGCCTTGCCGCCCCACCCGGCTGTCCGGCAGTGCCTCAGTTTCTTGCAGCAGTGTGGAACACGTTCCCCTGGCAATACCGTCTCCACTCCCTCATTCTCGCTGTTCTCTCCTTGGAGTCACAGCTGCGCCCCTGCCAGCCTGACACGGGGAGTTGCCCTCTCCAGGTCCAGTACATCGAGATGGCCGACGGCCGGGGATGGGTTCCGTGGGACCTCGTAGACGTCAAGCGCAAGATGGACCTGAGCAGGGCGACGTTTAAGATGGGCCAGCGCGTAGTGGAGGGGCGGGGTGGGGGGGGGCGGTCGTGGGGATGCTGGCGTCGATGAGGATGGAGAGGTGAGTACGGAGCAGCAGCAGCAGCAGAAGCAGCAGAAGCAGCTCCCAAGTTCTCCGCCGAGAAGTCCAGGGCAGGGATGGTTGCGCGCAACGAGTGGGCGCCTGACTCTCGCTGGGGAGCAGCTGCAGCGACCGCGCGTCGGGCTGCCTCAGCCTCTACTGACTCTTTTGATCTATCTATCTATTCATCTATCTGTACATATATAATATGGATGAATACCAGGTCCCCGGCCCCGGGGCTCCGGCCCACCCCCGGGACATCCGGGTCACGCCCGTGTTACCCCCCCCCCCGGGGGCTCCAAGACGGCCCAAGAGGCCCTCGAGACGGCCCAAGAATGTTCCAAGACGGTCCAAGAGGGCCCAGAGTCGCCGAAAGATCGGTCCAAAACGCCCATGATGACTTCTGGAGGACCCAAGACGCCCCCAAGAATCCCCAGAGGCCTCCAAGAGGCCTCCCAAGACGGCCTCGAGAGGCAGAAATCGTTGATTTTTCATTTGTTTTTTTCTGTGTTTTTTGGTTTCTCGCTCTGAGGCTCCAAGACCGCCCGAGAGGCTCCCAAGACTGCTCCAAGACGGCCCAAGATGCCCCCAAGAGAGCCCCAAGACGGCCCAAGAGAGCCCCAAGACCGCCCCGGATCCGCCCAAGACGGCCCAAGAGTGCCCCAAGAAGGCCTCAGAGGGGCCCAAGAGAGGGAACACGAACTGAAAAATCGAGCTCTCCGCCCGAAGATGCCCCCATGAGAACCCAAGAAGCCCCCAAGACACGATCTGACCGCTCGCGGGGACCCCATTTAGGTCCAGGGGAGATGTTTAGGGGCAGAGGTACCCTCCCCGAAGGGGTAGAGGGAAGGGTGGAGGGAGGAAACGCGCTTAACCACCTACGCACAGAGAGCTGGTGGGACTCTCTTTGCAACTCCTCTCATCCCCTGTTCTGTCAAACGAATGCTCTGCCTGTGCCGCCCTAGAACCTAAGCGCGCGCGAAGCGCGCACGTGGTTCTAGTGTGTATTTATATATAGATATATAAACCCAGCGCCGTTCAGCCTCCGTGATCGACTCCGCAAGCTTGGCCGCCTGCACGTGGAGCTGTTCCAAGGACTGAAGCTGGCGCTCTTTCTTCTTATCCGGCGCTGTGCACCTGTTCGTAAGCCAGTGTTGCTGCCCGCCGATGAGTTTGCCCACCAGAATCTTAGCACGCAGTCGCTCATGCTCAGGCAGGAGCTGGCGCCGCTGCTCGATGAGACGCGGCACCGAGGGCGAATCCCCGATGGCCTTGAGCGTCGCTGTGGTCTGCTCAAGGGCCACCTTGTGCTTACAATCTGGAGTATCAACCTCCATGTCCGTAGCACTGTCTGGCTTGTTGGAGACGAGGGTTGTAGCTTGCTCCTGGAGCTTCGCAATCTCGCGATCCTTGGCCTTGGCCACCTTGAGTGAAGCCTTGCGATCGACGTTGAGCATGCCACGAGGCTTTGAGGGTTGGCCAGCTTGCTGCTTGAGACCGAACAGAGAGGAGCCTCTGTCTACGTTGCACCCTTCGCACACACTTGCATCTGCATTGTTCCACCAGTGTTCTCCTGTCGTCTTAGGGTGGCACCAGTTGCACAACCACGGAGACGCGTTCGAGAGCCTCTGACGTTGAAAGCCGTTCGTGAATGACGAACGAGGCTGGGTTGCCAGGGGTCCGTGTGGTCCGTGCGGTACTGGCAATGGAGTGCAGAGCTGTCTGCACACAAGAGCACGGAGAACTGACCGCGGAATGGCGGTATCCGTGCGTTTCGCGAGGAAGCTCAACATCTTGCGCCAAAACGGTTGCGGAAGTGAATGAGGATGAGGATGTGGACGATGATAAGGATGAGGAGGAGGACGATGATCATGAGGGTGAGGATGGTGGCGTTGCTTACGATGACGATGTTGATGATGATGTTGATGATGCTGATATTGATCATGCTGCTGATGTTAAGGCTGATGATGCTGATGATGAAGATGATGTTGATGACGTTGTTGATGCTGATGATGGTGATGCTTTTGATGATGATGATTATGACGATTCCGATGATGATGATGACGCTGATCTGGGTGAGGATGCGGATGAGGATGCGCATGAGGATTGTGATCATGCTGATGGTGATGCTGAAAATGACGATGCTGATGTTGATGGCGATAGTGATGACGACGATGATGCTGATGCTGATTTTGATGATGAAGATGGTTATGGTGGTACTGTTGATGATGCCGACGATGATGATGATGCTGATGACGACAACGATGACGGTGATGACGATGATGATGATGCTGGTGATATTGCTACTGCTGATGATGATGCTGAACCTGATGACGATGATGATGATGATGATGAAAATGATGATGTTCATGATGATGATGCTGCTGATCGTGATGCTGATGCTGATGACGATTATGATGACGATTCTGGAGAGTCTGAGAACGAGGATGAGTATGATGATCAGCATACTGATGCTGCTGATGATGATGATGACGATGATGACGATGCTGATGATGATGTCGCTGATGATGATGGTGATGATGATGATATTGGTGACGATGATGATGTTGATGACGGTGCTGATGATGGTCATGATGCTGATGACGATGATGATGATGCTGATGATGATGGTGATTCTGATGATGGTGGTGATGATAATGATGACGATGGTGATGCTGTTGGGGATGATGATGATGCTGATGATGATGATGACGATGCTGATTATGGTTATGCTGACGGTGATGATGGTGTTGATGCTGATGATGGTGATGATGATGATGATGATGATGATGCTGCTGCTGATCATGATGATGATGATGAGGATGTTGCCTATGCTGATGATGATGATGACGATGATGCTGCTGATGATGATACTGCTGATGATGATGCCGATGATGCTAATGATGATGCTGATGATGATGATGATGCTGATGATGATGATGATGATGATGATGATGATGATGCTGATGCTGATGATGATGATGATGCTGATTCTGATGATAATGATGATGATGATGATGATGATGATGATGTTGATGATGATGATGATGATGATGATGATGATGATGATGATGATGATGATGATGATGATGATGATGATGATGAGGAGGAGGAGGAGGAGGAGGAGGATGATCAGGAGGAGGAGGAGAGGAGGAGGAGGAGGAGGAGGAGGAGGAGGAGGAGGATGATGATGATGATGATGATGATGATGATGATGATGATGCTGATGCTGCTGGTGATGATGATGAGTATTCTGATGATGGTGCAGGGGGGGATGAGGAGGAAGAGGAGGATTTCCAGGATTTCCGACATCACGTATTGATATGTATTAAAACCCAACGCTGCCTGGGCATGTGCAGTGTGTTGGGAGTGACCCAGTGCACCACGGTCGCTCCAAACCTCGAACGGCCTAGGAGGGGAGTGGGACTCAGAGGTGCACGTACACGTCCTGCGCCTCCTGGACCGACCCCCCCCGAGGGGAGGGGCCCCCCCTGCTACCCGCCAGGCACTCCAGGCACTGGCCGGGGACACAGGACACCCCTCGCCACCAGGCGGGGCACCTGGTGCGAGTCTCGGGGCGGGTGCCCTGGCCTGCTCCCCCCAGTCCCCTTGCCCAAGGGGGACAGAGCGAAGCCAGACCCCCCCTCCACACCCTGGCGCGACCGGGGAGTCGCCGGGCCAAGACAGTGGAGGGGACCCGAACCGGCCGTAGCCGAAACGGGTTTACCGTTTAGGCGCGAAGACCGTGGTTGGTGCCCCCACTGCCAAACACCCCCACCCACACACGGCAGTGGCGCAGCCCCCATACAGGCCACGACTAAGCGGGTTTCAGTTCCCCCGGACGGGCAGGAGGAAGAGGAGGATGACGAAGATCAGGAGGAGGAGGAGGATTAGGAGGGACAGGAGGAGGAGGAGGAGGAGGCGAATGAGGATGAGTTGGAGTTGGGGAGGAGGTGGAGGAGGAAGATGATGGAACTATGGATGGTGTAGACGATGAGGATCAGACAACTGATGAGCAATACAGCTGAGACGCTGACATAAGAACTACCTGGGGCTCAGGAGGGGCTACATTTTCTGTCCTGGTAAGGGCTCATGCCCGGGGTTCTCTTTCAGTGTGCGGGCCTTTGGCCCTGTACCATAAGGGTCTCGAGCCTCTGGCGTTGGAGGTGGGGGCATACAACTACGTGTGCGGAGGGAGGAGGGAGGAAGAGGAGGAGGAGGATGAGGAGGAGGAGGAGGTGGAGGAGGAGGAGGAGGGAGGAGGCGGATGAGGGAGGAGGAGGAGGAGGACGAGGAGGAGGAGGAGGAGGAGGACCAGTGTAAACCCAAGAGTCGTCAACGATGTTGGAATCCACCCTCCCTTCAAGCTCCCTCTTCATGTGCCCCTACAGCGGTTCAATTCCATTGAGGGAACTGCCTCGTTGGAAGACAACTGTTTGAAGATCCTGAAGCAAGCCAAGCATTGTTCTCAGGATTTCAACGCCACGTATCGCCCTGCAGGCATGACTTTTGCATTCTGGCGATCCGGAATCGCGCCGTAGCACCGTTTTTTGGATGTCAACACCGCGAACCAACATAATTGTTGCACCCGCGTAAACTTGAATCCTTCCAACACATTATTTTTGGTACGCCGATCATGGAGATCCGTGAAACGCTTGCCATTTTTTGCAGCGAAGGTGCGCGGCGCTAAGGCGAGAGCCACATTCTGAAAACCAACCCCCTTCAATCCGTGGAACTCTTGCATTTTTTCAAACGAATGTGCGCGGCGCTAAGGCGAGAGCCACATGTTGAAAACCACTGGCCTTCAAGCCGTGGATTTCTTGCATGTTTTTGAAACGAATGTGCGGCGCCAAGGCGAGAGCCACATTTTGCAAACGACCCGCCCTCAATCCGTGAAGCCCCTGCACATTTTTCAAACGGATGTGCGCGGCGCTAAGGCGAGAGCCACATTTTGAAAACCACCGGCATTCAATCCGTGAATATTTTGCATATTTTTGATACGAATGTGCGCGGCGCCGAGGCGAGATCCACATTTTGAAAACCACCCTCCCTCCATCTGTGAAGTTGTTATAACCTTTTAAGCTTCAGAGTCATAAGGGGTGAGGAAGTCCCAGGCGAAACGCCGAACCCGCCCTAAAAACTGGCCTCGGGGTGCGGCAGGGAAGAGTTATCTATAAGGAGAAGGAAAGGAGGAGGAGGATGAGGAGGAGGGTGGGGGAGGGGGAGGAGGAAAAGGCGGAGGAGGAGGAAGAGGAAGAGGAGGAGGGAGGAGGAGGAGGAGGAGGAGGACCAGTGGAAACTCAAGAGTCATCAACGATGTTGGAATTATCCCTCCCCCCAAGCTCCCTTTTCATAGGCCCCTACGACGGTACATTTCCATTGAGGGACTTGCTCGTTGGAAGACAACACTTTGAAGACCCTGGAGCGTGCCAAAATAATGTTCTCGGGATTTCAACGCCACGTATTTACCAGACTGCTGCACCGTGACGATCCAGAATCGTGCCGAAACGCTATTTTGGGACGTCAGCACAGCGAGTCAAAATAATTGTTGCGCCCGCGTAGTCCTGAATTCTTCCAAAACGCCGTTTCTGGTGCACTGATCATGGGAATCCGTGAAACCCTGGCAATTTCTTTAGCGACTGTGCGCGGCGCTAAGGCGAGAACCACATTTTGAAAAGGAGCCGCCCTCAATCCGTGAATTTCTTGCACATTTCTCAAACGAATGCGCGCGGCGCTAGGGCGAGAGCCACATTTTGGAAACCATCCGCCCTCAATCCGTGAAGCTCTTGCCAATCTTTAAAACGAATGTGCGCGGCGCTGAGGCGAGACCCACATTTTGAAAAAGATCCGCCCTCAACCAGTGAAGCTCTTTCCAGTTGTTTAAAACGAGTCTGCGCGGCGCTAAAGCGAGAACGACATTTTGAAAGCGACCCGCCCTCAATCCGTGAAGCTCTTGCACAGTTTTCAAACGGATGCGCGCGGCGCTAACGCGAGAGCCACATTTTGAAAACCACCGGCCTTCAAGCCGTGAATTCCTTGCATATTTTTGAAACGAATGTGCGCGACGCCAAGGCGAGAGCTACATTTTGAAAAGGAACCGCCCTTAATCCGTGAAGCTCTTGCCAATATTTACAACGAATGTGCGCGGCGCTGAGGCGAGAGCCACATTTTGAAAGTTACCGGCTTTCAATCCGTGGAACTTTTGCACGTTTTTCCCTACCTAGGTTCTGCCTAGAAGGGTTCTTACCTCTTGGCTTAAAGGGGCCGGGCAGTGGAACACGCCCCGGGCGTTCCCCCGGCATCCGCCCGTGCTTATCCCATCTTAGCTTAGCTTATTTCATCTTAGCTTAGCTTAGCTTCATCTTAGCTCAGGTTTATCTTACCTTAGCTTACCTTCATCTTAGCTTCGCCGAGCTTTGGCATAGCAGAGCACAGCATAGCATAGCAGAGCGTAGCATAACATAGCGCAGTACAGTATATCATAACATAGCCCAGCATAGCATAGCACAGCGCAGCATAGCATAGCATAGCATAGCATAGCGCAGCGCTGCATTAGCATAGCATATCATAACATAACATAGCCAAACATAGCATATCATAGCATAGCATAGCGCAGCAACAGCATAGCGCAGCTTAGCATAGCATATCATACCATAACTTAGCATAGCACAGCGCAGCATGACATATCATAGCTTAGCATATTATAGCATAGCATAGCACATCATAGCGCAACATAAAAACAATCATAGCATCTCATAGCATAGCGCAGCACGGCATGACATGGCATAGCATAGCATAGCCTAGCATAGCAACTCATGCTGCTTTCCTAGGGGCTCCAACTTCTAGGTAGGGTCGCACTGGGGTAACTGAAACGATTGTGCGCGGCGCTAAGACGAGAGCCACATCTTTCAACACCACCCGCTCTCCATATGTGAAGCTGTTGTCACTTGTTGAACTTCAGAGTCATAAAGGGTGAGAAGGTCTCAAGCGAAACGCCCAGCCCGCCCTAAAAACAGGCCTCGGGGTGTGGCAGGGGGGAGTTGTCTATAAGCAGAAGGGAAGGAGGAGGAGGAGGAGGAGGAGGAGGAAAAGGAGAAGGAGGAGGAGGAGGAGGAGGAGGAGGAGGAGGAGGGAGGGAGGGGACAGGGCGGGAAGGAGGGAGGAAGGATGGAGGTAGGAGGAGGGAGGAGGAGGATGGAGGAGCGAGGCGGGAGTGAGGAGGACGGAGGAGGGAGGAGGGAGGAGGAGGGAGGAGGGAGGAGGGAGGAGTGAGGGGCGCAGGGGCGGGAGGGAGGCGGGAGGCGGCCAGGAGGGAGGATGGAGGATGGACGATGGAGGGGAAGAGGCGGAGGAGAGGATGCTGATGATGAGATGATGATGATGATGCTGATTTTGTTTTTTGTCTCCTTGTGTCTGCTGCTGCTGATGATGATGATGATGATGATGATGATGATACTGATGATGATGCTGTTGTTGTTGGTGATGAGGATGATGCTGATGATGCTGATGCTGATGATGATGCTGCTGATGCTGGTGATGATGAGGCTGATGCCCATGAGGACGCTGATGCTGATGATGACGATGATGATGCTGACGATGAGGATGATGATGATGAGGAGGAGGAAGAGGAGGGTGATGAGGAGAAGGAGGCGGCGGAGGTTGAGGATGAGGAGGTTGAGGATAAGGAGGAAGATGAAGACGGAGGAGGAGGAAGGGGAGGAGGAGGAGCACGGTGATGATGACCCTGATGCTGATGATGATGCTGATGTTACTGATGCTGATGATGCTGCTTCTGATGATGATGATGATGATGATGATGATGATGATGATAATGTTGATGAGGCTGATGATGCTGATGACGATGATGATCATGCTGAATATGATGATGATGATGCTGGCTGGTGATGATGACGCTGATGCTGCTGATGATGACGCTGATGCGGCGGATGATGACGATGATGATGTCGCTGATGATGATGCCGATGCTGATGCTGATGATGATGATGATGCTGATGCTGATGATGATGATAATGCTGTTGATGGTGATGCTGATGATGCTGCTGCCGATGATGATGATGCGGATGATGATGCTTATAATGCTGATGATGTTGATGATGATGCTGATGATCATGATGATGCGGATGAGGAGGATGATTATGATGATGCTG